GGCTTTGGAAATCAGAAGTCCCTGTCAGCTGGTTTAATTGGCAAATGCCTGTGAAGGAGTTTTTGTTGTCTCCTCCTCCCTCCCCCCCTTTTAAAACAGTAGTTTACTAAGATAGAATTCACATATAAAATTCATGCATTTAAAGTGTACAGTGAAGTGATCTTCTAGTGCGTTCAGAGATGTGCAGTCATTGGCACACTCAGATTATAAAATGCTTTTGTCATCCCATAAGGAAACCTTGTGCTGTTTTACCATTCATTCATTCTCTGGCCTCCTGGCCTCCAGAGACAACCTCTCATGCACACTCTGTCTCAAGGTGTGCCTCTCCTGGACCTTTCTCTGTATACACACATTAGTGTTAACTTGTATTTTTATAATATCCTACAAAGGTTGTATACGTTTTTGGATTAACATATAATCATTGTACATATTTAGGGCAACTGTAGTATTTCAAGACATTCATGCAGCATGTATCAATCAAATCACAGTAATTAGCATTTCATTTCCTTATCATTGCTTTCTGTTTGGTGCCTTCAGGTTCCATTCCTTATAAAATATATATTAGGTTGTGGTAAGCTATAATCACCTCCACTGTGCTGTGGACCACTGGAACATCCTTCCTTTTATCTCACTATTTTGATACCCTTTATCCAAACAAACTCCTTGTAATCCTTTTACATTCAGTTCAACGTTGGGTTTGGTTGATTGGTTTTTTAAGCATCTTCATTTGAGAGAGAATGTATGGTGTGTGTCTCTGTATGCCTGGCTTATTTCACTTACATAATGTTATTCTGGCCATTTCCTGTCAGTGGTGTTGTGGTGTGTGTGTGTGTGTGTGTGTGACTGGCTCCTTTCCCTTAGCGTGATTTCAAGGCTCATCTGTATTGTACCATATGTTAGTGATTCATTCCTTTGTGTGGCTATACCATGTTCGTCAGCTGATGGACATTCAGATTGCTTCCTCTTTTGGGCCACCATGAATAACGGTGCCATGGATGTTTGTGTAGTTTTTGAGCAGACATAGATTTTCATTTCTCTTAAGTGTAAAGCCAGGAAGGGAACTGTTGGATCAGATGGTAACTCTGTGTGACATTTGTAGGCACTGCCAACTGTTTTCTATACTGACTGTATCATACACTCCCACCAGCAATGTGGAAAGGGTTCCAATTCCTTCCGATTCTCCCTTACACTTGGCTATTTGTCTTTTTGATTATAGCCATCCTAGTGGGTGTGAAATGATAGCTCATTATGGTTTTGATTTACATTTCCCTACTGACTAACTATGCTGAACATCTTTTCATGTGCTTATGAGCCACTTATATACCTTCTTTGAAGAAATGTTAATTAAAATCCTTTGTCTGTTTTTATTTGGGTTATCTTTCTATTACAATCTGAATACAAGTCCCTTAATAGAGGCATTATTTGGAAATATTTTCTCTCATTCTGTAGGTTTTCCTTTAACTTTCTTGATGGTATCATTTGTAGCACACAGTTTTTGATCTTGGTGAAGTCTATTTTGTTAGGTGTTTTTTTTTCCCCTTGTGGTTTGGTATCATAGCTAAGAAACCATTGGCATAAATATATACTCTTGTGTTTTCTCCTAAGAGTTTATCATTTTGGCTCTTATATTTAAGCTTATACCCCATTTTGACTTAGTTCTTGTGTATGGTATCAGGTAGAAGTCCAACTTGATTGTTTTCATGTGGATATCTACTGATCCCAGTACCACTTGTTGAGTAGGTTATTCTTTTACCATTGAATTTTCTTGGCATCCTTGTCCAAAATCAGTTGGTTATAAATTAAAGGGTTTATTTTTGGATTCTTAATTCCTTTCCATTGATGTACATGTTTATTGTTAGGTAGTACTACAATGCCTTCATTATAGTAACTTTTTGAAATCAGGAAATATAAGTCCTCCAAACTTATTCTTTTCCGGATTATTTTGATGATTCTGGTTCCTTGAATTTCCGTATGAATTTTGCAATCAACTTGTCAATTTCTGCAGAGAAACCAGCTAGAGTTTGGTTGGTGTATTACATTGAATTTGGAGAGTGTTGCCATTTTAACAATATAGTCTTCTAACCCGTGAACTTGGAATATCATCCTATTTATTTAGATCTTTAATTTTTTCAAGAAAAAGATTTGTTTATTCGAAAGGCAGAGTTATAAAGTGAAAGAAAAGAAAAGAGAAAGATTTTCCATATACTGATTCATTCCCCAAATGGCTACAGTGGCTGGGGCTGGGCCAGGCCAAGGCCAGGAGCCAGAAGCTTTATCCTGGTCTCCCACATGGGCCCAAGCACTTGGACCATCCTCCACTGCTTTTCCCAGGTCATTAACAGGGAGCTGGATCCAAAGTGGAGCAGCCAGGACTTGAATTAGTGCCCATGTGGGGTCCTGGGATTGTAGGCAGCAGCTTAAACCACTGCACAACACTGGCCCAATTTTTTTCAACTATGTTTTGTATTTTTAATGTACAAGTCATATACTTATTTTGTTAAATTTAAGAGGCCAGCGCTGTGGTGTAGCAGGTAAAGCTGCTGCCTACAGTACTGGCATCCCATATGGGTGCCAGTTTGAGTCCTGGCTGCTCCACTTCCAGTCTAGCTCTCTGCCTTGACCTGGGAAAGCAGTAAAAGATGGCCCAAGTCCTTGGGCCCCTGCACCCATATGGGAGATCTGGAGGAAGCTCCTGGCTCCTGCCTTCGGATTTGCACAGCTCCAGCCATTGCAGCCATTTGGGGAGTGAACCAGTGGATGGAATACCACCCACCTCCTCTCTCCCTCTGCCTCTCTGTAACTCTGCCTTTCAAATAAATAATTTAAAAAATTATTTCCCATTATTTTATTCTTTTTTATACTGTTATTAACAGAATTGTTTTTCTAAGCTTCACCTTTGGAATATTTCTAGTGTAGTTGATTTTTGTATATTGATCTAATATCCTTCAACTTTATTTGAACTTGTTGTTCAAGGTGAACTCCCTGGGATTTTCTGTGTGCAAGACTATCTTGTCATCAACTTTCTCCTCCCCAGTCTGGATGCCTCTTATTTCATTTTCTTATTTGCGTTGGCTAGAACTTCTAGTGCGATGGTAAGTGGAAGTGATGAGAGTAGACGTCTTTTGCCTGTTTCTGTTCTTCAGGGAGGAAGTTTTAGCCTGTCACTATTACAGCGTTAGTGCTGGGCCTTTAGTAGATGCCCTTTGTCAGGTTGAGGATGTTCCCATTTATATTCCTAGTGTGTTGAGTGATTTTGGTATAAAACGGTGTTTTTGTCAAATACCCTTTTTGCAACTATTGAGATAATCGTGTGGGTTTTATCTTTTATTCTAAGTATTGTATTACATTGATTTTTTCTTTTTTTGGAACAAGAGCAATACTTCAGATATGTGATTCTGGTCTGCTTCCAAGGCTTGCTTCTACATTTTTTCCTTCACCCATTCACACAAAAATCCCCATTTTCTTTGGGTCCTCACACACACTAAGGCTAATGTCTGCCTGGCTACCTTAATGTTCCACCTTCAAGCATCTTAGGGAGTGGCATGGGTGAAGGTCCACCTTCTGTATTTTCTTCAAGCTGACACAGGGACATAGAGCTGCTTGTGGTCTTGTTCTCTTGCTGTCTGTCCTGTGGTGTTCGAGGGTGGCCTTGCAGAGAATTGCCTTATGTGGTCCAGAGGGCTAGTCACTCGTCAGCAGGAATGGCTGGAAGCCCTGTCAAACACTGTGCTGACCTTGTGTTCCTGGGATTTTTGTGTCTGTACTGAGAAGCGATTCTGTTCTGTGGTTTTCATTTCTTTCAGTGTCTGTCTGGTTTTGGTTTCAGGGTAGTAGTGGCTCGTAGAATGAGTTGGAAAGTAATGTTCTCTTCTGTTTTTGGAAGAGTTTACGAAGGATTAGTGATAATTCTTTAAATGTTTGATAGAATTTACCATCAATGCCATCTGGACCTGACCTTTTTCTTTGTGGGAAGTTTGAAAATTACCAATTCAATCTTTTTTTTTTTTTTTTTTTTTTTTTTGACAGGCAGAGTGGACAGTGAGAGAGAGACAGAGAGAAAGGTCTTCCTTTGCCGTTGGTTCACCCTCCAATGGCCGCCGCGGCCGGCACGCTGCAGCCGGCACACCGCGCTGATCCGATGGCAGGAGCCAGGTGCTTCTCCTGGTCTCCCATGGGGTGCAGGGCCCAAGCAGTTGGGCCATCCTCCACTGCACTCCCTGGCCACAGCAGAGAGCTGGCCTGGAAGAGAGGCAACCGGGACAGAATCTGGTGCCCTGACTGGGACTAGAACCTGGTGTGCCGGCGCCACAAGGCGGAGGATTAGCCTAGTGAGCCGCGGCGCCAGCCTACCAGTTCAATCTTTTTGCTTGTTATGGGTCTGTTCAGATTTTCTGTTTCTTCTTTTTTTTTTTTTTCCCAAAGATTTTATATTTGAGAGGTAACGTTACAGACAGTGAGAGGGTGAGACAGAGAGAAAGGTCTTCCATCCATTGGTTCACTCCCCAAATGGCCGCAATGGCCAGAGCTGCGCCGTTCCGAAGCCAGGAGCCAGGTGCTTCTTCCTGGGCTCCCATGAGGGTGCAGGGGCCCAAGCACTTGGGCCGTCTTCTACTGCTTTCCCAGGCCACAGAGCTGGAAGTGCAGTAGCCAGGAGTAGAACTGGCGCCCATATAGGATGCCGGTGCTGCAGGCGGAGGATTAACCTACTGCGCCACAGCGCCACCCCTTCTGTTTCTTCTTGAGTCAGATTTGGTGGTTTATGTCTCTAGGATATGTGGTTTTCATATAAGTTAAGTTTTTAGAAGCATACATTGTTCATAGAATTTCTTTTCAATATTTTTTGTTTTTGGAACCTTGGTGGTGAAGTCCCCTCTTTTACTCTTGATTTTTAGTTATACATCTTTCTTCTTAGTCTAGCTAAAAGTTTATCAGTGTGTTTTTCTTGTTGCCTACTTTTGCAGTTGCTTCCGCAATAATAATTTATTTGTCTTTCCTTTTAGGGTTGATTTCTTTATCCCGGGTGTCCCTGTGGTTGGTGGGTTTTCAATATGCTCCAGTCCCAGACTGCTTGAACAAGAGAGGGTGATAGAGCTGGCAGTGAAATACGCAAACCACGCCCCTGCGCTCTGGGTTCACAATCAGGTGAGCAAGCTGGCCGTCTCTGCCTCACACGGAATCTGTGTCCTGCGTACCTGATCCATTCTAAAGGCGGGGGCTTAAGCATCAAGAACACAAGCTTGCCAAGAGCTTTCCAGAAAAGTTAAAGGAACAGGATATGTGTGATGTAGATTTATGTGATGTAGAGAGACTTTGGGATCTGGCAGTATTTCCCAGGTTACCAAATAGTATTCATTCAGATATTACTGTAGAATGAAAACATTGTACATTTTGGGCAATTTTTTTAAAATTGACTCTGTGTGAAGAATCTGCATCAGATTCTTTTGTCCTAACCGTGGCAAATAAAAGGAATGACCCGATCATTCTGTTGTTGGGGAACTGTCCCTGCTTATGTAGTACTGCTGGTGCACGGCGTGGAGCATCACTAAATGCAGGGAGCTGGAGCTGGGAGAGGGAGCCTGCGTTGGCTGCTGCTAAAGGCTCGTGCTGCGCCCCAGGGCTCAGCGAGGTCCTACAGAAGCTGCCTGCCCTTAATGGCTAGGACTGTGTTGGCAGAGGGTTCCCAGAACATGTCTGTCACATGCTGTCTTGGTGTCGGCCCGGTCTCCTCTTCCTTGCTGAGATTGCTTGTGGTATTCACCAGCAGCCTCCATCCTGTCCTGGGCCTGTACCAGTACCAGTGTGGCTTCAAAGACTCAGCATTGTTGCCTTTTCCTGGAAATCATTGTGAAGCAACAAAGGAAAACAGAAAGCCAACACTGCAACTTTATTTTGAGCAGAACTTGAAAACTCTCCAGTGTATTTTTTTCCTATTTTTTTAAAAAAATTTTATGGGGCCAGCATGGTGGTGTGGTGGATTAAGCCACCACCTGTGGTGCTGGCATCCCAGGTGAGCACCAGTTTGAGTCCTGGCTGCTCCACTTCAATCCAGCTCCCTGACAATGTGCCTGGGAAATTAGTGGAAGATTGTCCAGGTCCTTGGGCTCCTGCCACCCACATGGGAGACCCAGATGGAGGTTAGGCTCTTGGCTTTGGCTTGGCCTAGTCCTGTCTCCAAATGGTGTGGCCATTTAGAGAGTGAACCAGTGGGTGGAATATTTTCTCTCTCTCTCTCTTTCTCTCACTGCCTTTCAAGTAAATAAATCTTAAAAAATTTTATTTTTATGTGAGAGACAGAGGGAGACAGGCAGAATTCTCTTCTGTACGTTCATTCCCCAAATGGCTGCCGTGGGTGGTGATAGGCCATAGGCCAAAACCAGGAGCTAGGAATTCCATCCAGGTCTCCCACAGATGTGTCAGGAACCCAGTTACGTGGGCTGTCACCACTGCCTTTGGAGTTCTGCATTGGCAGAAGGCTGGCAGGAGTTGGAGCTGGGATTGAACCCAGGAACTCTGATGTGGGGTGCAGGTGTCTTAACCATGAGGCTAAATGGCAGCTCCCCAGTATATTTTTAAAGGTTGCAGACAATTGTGTTTGTGTGGGAGGCACATGGGAGTAGGTCAGGGAGAGAAGCCAATAGTAGATCTCATGAGTACCAACAAACATGCACATGGGAGAGGACTGGGACAAGACACATGGAGCTTTGTGGTATGAAAATGGCTGCTCAGGGCGCTCTCGGCTCGGCCCATCCCCAGTGCAGGGCCCTCTTGCAAATCACAGTTCATCTCAATCTCATGAGAGGAATCAAAGTAAACATGCAGACATATTGTGTTCATGGTTCGGAAGACTCAGCATAGTAAAGGAATCAGTTCTTTTTTTTTTTTTTTTTTTTTTTGGATAGGCAGAGTGGACAGTGAGAGAGAGACAGAGAGAAAGGTCTTCCTTTCTTCCTTTTCCGTTGGTTCAACCCCCAATGGCCACTGTGGCCAGCGCGCTGCGCCGATCAGGAGCCAGGTGCTTCTCCTGGTCTCCCATGTGGGTACAGGGGCCCAAGCACTTGGGCCATCCTCCACTGCCCTCCCGGGCCACAGCAGAGAGCTGGACTGGAAGAGGGGCAACCGGGACAGAATGCGGCGCCCTGACGGGTTCTAGTCCCCATCGGGGTGCCGGCGCTGCAGGCGGAGGATAAGCCTAGTGAGCCGAGGCGCCGGCCAAGGAATCAGTTCTTAACTGATTTATCATGGCACTAATTAAATCTCAATAGGATTTTTTTTGTAGATATAGATAAGCTGATTTTAAAATGTATGTGGGAAAAAGGAACTAGAATAGATTTAACAATTTTGAAAAAGAATAAAAAGTGGGAGGAATTACTCAAATTTAAGATTAAAGTCAACAGTAATCAAAACAATGTGGTATTGGTGAACAGACACATAGATCAATGGAACAAAATAAAGAGTTCAGAAATAGACACAAGTATGTCTATTGAATTTTTATGAAGGTGCTAAAGAAATGCAGTAGAGAAAAGATGGCCTTTTCAGCAGTTGTGTATCTATAGATGTATGCAAAAAAAAAAAAAAAATAGTTTGTAGTCTTTTTTTTTTTTTTTATTTTTGACAGGCAGAGTGGACAGTGAGAGAGAGAGACAGAGAGAGAAAGGTCTTCCTTTGCCGTTGGTTCACCCTCCAATGGCCGCCGCTGCAGCCGGCGCACCGTGCTGATCCGATGGCAGGAGCCAGGATCCAGGTGCTTTTCCTGGTCTCCCATGGGGTGCAGGGCCCAAGCACCTGGGCCATCCTCCACTGCACTCCCTGGCCATAGCAGAGAGCTGGCCTGGAAGAGGGGCAACCGGGACAGAATCCGGTGCCCCGACCGGGACTAGAACCCGGTGTGCCGGCGCCGCAAGGTGGAGGATTAGCCTATTGAGCCACGGCGCCGGCTGAGCTAAACTTTGTACTTTATATTCAAAATTAACTCAGATTAGATCTAACGCCAAACATGAAGCTATAAAATTTCTAGAAGAAACATAGGAAGTATTTGAAACCTGATAGGAAAAGAGTTCTTAGATTCAACACACAAAAGCAAGATCTATAAAAGAAAAATATGATATATAGGACTAAATGAAGATTATAATTTTTTCTTGTGAAAGACACTGTTAAAGAATTTATAAACAAGCTAAAGACTGGGAGAAAATATTTGCAAATCAGATATCCAACAAAAGACTTATATCCAGAATATATAAAAAATTCAACAAAAAGAAAACAAACAACATCTTTTTTTTTTTAGATTTATTTTATTTATTTGAAATGCAGAGTTACAGGGAGGGAGGGAGAGAGAGAGACAGAGATATCGCTCTCCTATCTGCTGGTTCACTTCCCAAATGGCTGCAACAGTCAGGGCTAGGCCAGGCTGAAGCCAGAAGCCAGGAAACTCCTCCGGGTCTCCCACCTGGGTGCAAGGGCCCAAGCATTTGGGCTGTCCTTGGCTGCTTTCCCAGGCACATTAGCAAGGAGCTGAATTGGAAGTGGAGCAACCAGGACTCGAACCAGCACCCGTATGGGATGTTGGCGCTGCAGGCGGCAGCTCAACCTGCTACACCATGACGCTGGCCCCAACAACAACATTTTTTAAAATGGGCAAAGGGTTTGAATAGACACTTCACTAAAAAGGTTGTAAGGACAAAGCAAAGATGTGCAACATCATTAATCATTAGAGAAATATAGATTAAAACTATTTGGAGTGGGCTGGTGTATCCCACTACATTAGAATGGCTAAAATTAAAAATATTGACAGTATCAAGTGCCAACAAAGATATGGAGCAGCTGGAACCCTCATATCTTGCTAGTGAGAATGCCAAGCCGTATAGCCATTCTGGAATATCTGTTGCAGTTGTGTATAAAGTTAAACATGTACTTACTGTATGACTCAGCAGTACCACTTCCTAGTATTGAAAAATGAAAGCTGTGTTCATAAAATAACATAACGTAAGCATTTACGGCAATTCTGTTTATAATTATCAAAACCTATAGAGAACTCACGTCCCTCAACAGGTGAATGGATGAACAAATTCTGATGCATTCATCCAGTGACCTATTCAGCAATAAAAAGGGATTCCTTGTTGATGCAGACAAAAACCTGGGTGAATCTTGAAGGCTCTGTGTTGAGTGAAAGAAGACACAATATGGGGCCAGCGCTGTGGCATGGCAGGTAAAGCTGCCGCCTGAGGTGCCAGCATCCCATATGGACGCCGGTCCAAGTCCTGACTGCTCTACTTCCAATCCAGCTCTCTGCTGTGGCCTGGGAAAGCAGTGGAAGATGGCCCAAGTCCTTGGGCCCCTGCACCTGTGTGGGAGACCCAGAGGAGGCTCCTGGCTCCTGGCTTCGGATCGGTACAGCTCCAGCCGTTGCGGCCATCTGGGGAGTGAACCAGTGGAAGGAAAACATCTCCTTCCCCCCCCCCCCCATGTCTCTCTCTCTCTGTCTCTCTGCCTCTGCCTTTTAAATAAATGTTAAAAAAGAAGAAGAAGACACAGTCACAGAAGGTTCCATAGTGTAGACTCCCATGTTTGTCATTCTGGAAGACTGAAAGGTAGTGAAGGCCACTGGTCGCTGGTTGACAGGTGGGGTAGGGAAGGATGAGAGCGTGAAGAGAAGGTGGAGGGAGGGTCCTGGGGTGATGAAACTGCTCTGTGTCTTGATCTTGATGCTGGTTACATAAATCTTTTATGTGACAACATTCATAGAACTACACACCAAAAAGGGAAACATGTTTTACCAAGAGAATTTAAGACAAATTTTTTAAAAACCTGTAGGGGCAGAAACGTGTTCTGCATGTGCACTTTGCATGCGTTTGGGGCAGCCCCCAGGTGGCTGCCGTGGCCTTGCCATTGTCAGTGTGTCCCCTCACATCCTCACCCTCCAGCCTGCCGAGTCTCCTCTGCTGTGGCCTTAGCTACTCCATTCCTTCGTACACTGTCTGTGGATTTGCACCCCGTGGCTGTCTCTAGGCTGCTCTCTGAGTCTCTAGAATGCGCCACTGGGCTGGGATCAACAAGGCGTCCTTGTGGCCTTGCTCAGCGTTGGCATCAGCATAGCCATCCCGGCTCCCAGCGTCCTGGACTCCCTCTGAGCATCCCGCGTGTCCTGGCCTGGTCCTTGTCCACGGCTCCCTGTGAGGTTCATGCCTCATTGGCACTGCAGTGAAGGAGTGTACGCTCCGGCTGCGCAAAACCTCAGAGTGGTACTGCCTGAGCGCACATCCTAATTGCGGTGCCTGCTCGCCTCTCCCAGTGGGAGCTGCTGCGGCAGCTCTTCTGAAGTCAGGTTTTTCTTGGAACCATGTTCAGATGGCTGTTTTCCTCCTGAGTATCTGCCTTATTAAGCTATTAGAGTGGACAATGGAGGCACGTGAGTGTCTGGGCGGCAGCAGGCCGCTCTGCGGAGACATGGAACCAAGAGCCATAAACATCTTCCTCTATTGGATCTGCTTTGGCTCGGGCTCCTGGCAGGGTAAAGGGCTCCAGACAGCTATTGTGTGCTCGGCTCCAGTAGCTATGCAAAGGGTGTTTAGTTCACAAGTAGAAAATCTATACCCAGATTAGATACATTGCTGTGTAACTGAAGGGAATGTCCTTTTGCTCACTTCCGAATTATACTCCGCTGTGCTTCGACTCTGTGTTCCTGCAACCTGGCAGCTTTTATTGACCAACAGGAGACAGAAGTGGCTGTTGATACTTTCCAGATGCTAGCAGATGATAGATAGCAGATGAGAGAGAAGATAGATCTACTGAAGGTTGCTTTGCCACCAAGAGAAGACCGGCTTCTTGAGTATTAGCTTTCCCTGGGGCACATTTTCATGCCTGCTTTTGGGTTGAAAATACTCTGGTTTCTAAGAACAATAACCCCAGCTTCCTCTGTTGTCATTACTCAGCATGCCAAGGGTGGCCACTGGAGAAAATTACTTCTCTGTGATTTTCCGGTCCATTTGTCTCTCAGATTCTTAGAGGTAAAGAGAGGTCTATAGGCAAGCAAAAGAATTCGGCAGAGCCTCTTGGATCCTGGACCATGCTTTCGAGACTTGAAAGGACGGAGTGTCATAAAGCACCTGGGGAGCCGGCAGCCAGTGTGGCCCCTCCTCCACATCAGTGATTCCAACTCCGTCCTCCCTTGCTGCTCATTCCTTTTGTCAAAAATGGACGCCCACCTGCCACCATTCATGTAAAATCTCCCATACGTTTAAAATAATTAGGACTTTTTCCCTCTTAGAGAAAGAATTTCCATTCATTTAAGAGTTCTTTACCAAAAAGGGCCTGTTTTGTAAATACAAATAGTTTTCTTTTTTCTTTTTCTCTAATTCATCTTTAAGTTGTAGAGCCCCAAATTAGATTCTTATTCAAAAGCACTTACTGCTTGCCTGCCGAGAGTTTGGTCTTCAAAAAGCATGATATGTTCTTTTTTTTTTTTTTTTTTTTTTTTTTTAAGTATTTTATTTACTTGAAAGGTGGAGTTACAGAGAGAGAGAGAGCAAGCTTCCATCCACTGGTTCACTCCTCAAATGGCTGCAATGACTGAGGTTAAGCCAGGCTGAAGCCAGGAGCTTCTTCTGGGTTTGTCACGTGGATGCAGGGACCCACACACTTGGGCCATCCCCCAGTGCTTTCCCAGGTGCATTAGCAGGGAGTGGATTAGAAGTGGAGCAGCCAGGGCTCTAACTGGTGCCCATATGGTTTGTAGGCATCTCAGGTGGCGCCTTAACCACCCACTATGCCACAACACCAGCCCCACGATATGTTCTTATTTCTTAGAAGGGAATCACTGAGTTGATTTGTGCCAGGAATGTGTAATGGGACAAATGTATGCTCTTGATATAAATGTCTGTTCTGGATTCTGCTTCTTAGCAACAGGGAAGGAGGCAGGACTTGCTGTACTTTCTCCTCCATGACAGCCGTAATGGCCACTGTTCCCACTTGTAGAGAGCCTGCCAGCAGGGGGTTTCCCCCCTGTGTGCCTCTGGGTGCCGAGCTCAGCCCTGTCGGCCGGGCAGGGCAGGCCAGGACTGTTACCATTTTCCAGGGGACTCACAGAGGCTCAGAGAAGTTAAGAGGCCTGTGATAGAAATTCAGTCTTAATGACTCCTAGTGAGTACATTTTTCTCCAAAATGAGGTATTCCCAACCCTGTCTGATCTAGTGCCCCTTTTCTAGAACTATCCTGAAATGAAATTCATAATTAATGGAATGAATACATAAAAGTTTTTAGAAAAAAAAAAACACAAAATTCTCTTCACTGTAATTAGCAGAAAAGAGAACTGCCAGACAGTGATGTGTGGTCAAGGAGTCCGTGTTTGCTAGACGGGGGTGGGCATCTGTTACCTAGAAGTCAGCCTGAGGCCGTCAGCCGTCTGCTACCTGGATCACCCTAGCACAGCCTCCGTGTGCCGCTGCCTCGCCCACCTGTGTGGCTGACACCTGGGGTGTCATTTCCATTCCAGTGAAGGTCTGGACGCAACAGTGCAGTCGGTGTGTATGGTGGCCACCTTCTGGAAATGGCAGATCTCTGCCCAAGGTGGCCTAGTTTCTGTATAAGATGCGCTAGGATCCGATCTCCCATGACGTGAACACCCCATGGGCCCTTCGGGAGTCACTGCGCAGGACAGTCCTGTGCGTTACAAATCATGGTGTGCTGGTAACCCGGCTCCGAATAAGAATGCCTTGTTCGCATCATTTGCTGCTCTCTGTGCCATACATACCACCACAGTGGCTGATTCCAAGCACCGGAGTTACTAGCTCACAAAATTACTACAGATAGAACTGTCAGCTTAGCAGGTGCCAGTTCCTGGACAGCACTAGTTTTGTAGGATGGCTACAACTCTGCCCCTGCCCCCTAAATGCCACTTGAGTTCCCCATATCATTGTGACAGCAACAGAATGTCACCAGAAGTTTGCAGTTCCCTCGCTTCCAACCCCCACCTCCAACACCACAAACAGGGTGGCCCCACCGGGATCCAGTGTGTCAGTTCTGATGGTGTTTCTGGGCCAGGTGACCTCAGCAAATAGATGTTTTCCTTGGCAGGTCTGGGTGATACCCACCCCCGGGTTGAAGCCTTCGGCTTAGGTCTGGCTCCCGTTCTTGCTATTCCAGAGAGAAAGGGGCAGCACTGAGCAGGCCTGCAGTGCTGGCCTGGTGAGGGGGGCAGTAGGACGAGAGCCCCCACTTCTCACGCCTCTCGGCCCTGACGAGCCCTCAGCAGCCAGTCCAGACGGCTGGCCCGTGCTGCCTTTCTCAGCCGTGGTCAGAACCCGAGCGCACACTCAGTAAAGGAGCCTGCTTCGGAGCGGTGCCCTGCCCGAGTCCATCACCTGAGAAGTTAACAAATGGCACAGGCACTGAGGCCGGCCTCCTTTCCTCGGTGCCAGAGTGGCTGTGTGGTACGGATCCCAAAGGCGGGGCAGCAAATGGCCTGTGCAGTGGCCAAGTGCAGTCAGTTCACAGGGCCCCAGGAAAGCTGGGAGCGAGCCGTAGAAGCAATCCTAACAACTGGGAGAGAGGCCGGAGGTAGGCCCCGTTAGTTTCACAGAGGGAGGATATTTGATTTAAGACCACTGCTACAGAGGACTGAAGGGTTCTCTCTTTCTTCCCTCAGTGTACACTTGATTCTGAAGTGGCGGTGAGAGTGGGTGGAGAGTTCTTCTTTGACCCTCAGCCCACAGACGCCTCCAGGAACCTCGTGTTGATTGCAGGAGGGGTCGGAATTAACCCCCTGCTTTCCATCCTGCGGCACGCAGCAGATCTGCACCGAGAGCGTGAAGACAAAGGAAGTGGGTATGAGATAGGAACAGTGAAACTGTTCTACAGTGCAAAAAGCACCAGTGAACTCCTGTTCAAGGTAAGCGAGGGGGCCTACGTTTTGTGGCTGACTGTAGCAACCTTGGGTAGCGGCATTCATTGTCCAAGAAAATGTCTTCTCTGGGTTGTTTTCTCTGTAGAGGTTCAAGCAAAAGGTTTGGCAAGGCTTAACCATGTTCGAATGAGGCTTAACCAACACATCTCAGCCAGGACGATCAAACTGCTCCCGTTGAAGGGGCGCCCAGTGAAGGGACAGCACGGGGATGGGATCTGGAGTTAGGAGAAGGGAAGTTGCATGGCCCCCCAAGACTCCCCGAGACCAGAGACCTGGAAGCGGGCCTGGGTGTCCTAGGAGCAGCCGAGATCCGAGGGCTTGGGCCCTGCCGGGAGGATGAAACCCCCATCAGCTGCATCTGCTGAGCCGACCATGTTTGAAGGAGGAGGCTTTTTCTTGGGAGTGCTCTGCAGCTGCAGGAGGGAACAAAAGAACAGAAACAGTTAAAAGACACAACTGTGGTCAGTGTAACCGCTGCTTAATTGCCGATGCCTAAGAGAAAGGAGAAAGAAAAAACCCCGGAGAGTTAGTAATATGCTTGTTATCATAATCAGACTTCAGTGAAAGCCAGATAGCCCTCCGTCCCCCGGCTGCGGTGGCCTGCGAGGCTGCAAACAATGTCTCTCTGAGTAGGGAGCAAGAGCAGCACACGTGTGCAGAATGGGAGCCGAGCTTCGGCGGCCCTGCTCGCGCACATCTGTTTTGATTTTTTAAAATCGTAGTGTGACCAAATCTGTTTGGCATTTCAGAAAAATATCCTCAATTTGGTAAATGAATTTCCTGGGAAGATTGCGTGCAGTTTGCATGTTACAAAACAGACTACGCAAATCGGTGCAGAACTCGAGCCCTACATCACGGGTGAGTCCACTAGAGGTATTTGGACTGTCTCTGGGCAGCCGTTGGATGGACACGCCAGTTGGTTGCGTGTAGATGCTCTGTTTTCGGGAGTTGCTGGCTGGGAAGGGCCCTACCTGGGGAATTGGGAGATGACTCATCCTGGAAGAATAATGAGATCTGTAGTTGGGTTTACTTACTATATACTGACTTCCTACTGCCCATATAAAAAGTTCATTTTCCAGGCCGGCGCCGCGGCTCACTAGGCTAATCCTCCACCTAGCGGCACCGGCACACCGGGTTCTAGTCCCGGTCGGGGCGCCGGATTCTGTCCCGGTTGCCCCTCTTCCAGGCCAGCTCTCTGCTGTGGCCCGGGAGTGCAGTGGAGGATGGCCCAGGTGCTTGGGCCCTGCACCCCATGGGAGACCAGGAGAAGCACCTGGCTCCTGCCATCGGATCAGCGCGGTGCACCGGCCGCAGCGCGCTGGCCGCGGCGGCCATTGGAGGGTGAACCAACGGCAAAGGAAGACCTTTCTCTCTGTCTCTCTCTCACTGTCCACTCTGCCTGTCAAAAAAAAAAAAAAAAACAAAAAAGTTCATTTTCCACATTGTTTCAGTGGCCTTTGCAGCATCACTAGAGGATGCGCACAGGATGTATGTTCCAGCTGTGCTGGGTCAATTCCATTTGCCACTAATGATCATTTAAATTACTCATCATCTCCCCTGTTTGGAAGGACTTTTACACACACGGGTTATTTGCAGAAGGCCATTTGGCATCTTCCCCTGAAGTCCAGTAAGTTTGCTGGCCCCTCTGAAGAGTGCACCACAGAGTGGCTTCCCGCTCTGCTCGCCAGGGTTAGGAAGCCTGGAGGTGCACCGCGCTCGTGTCTGGGCCCAGGTGCCAGCGGCTCAGGACCAGACTCGCGGAGCTTGGGTTTCTGCACATGGCCACCATTGCTGAGTTGCGTTTCATCTCTCCTCACCTCAGAATACAAACGCATCTGGCTTAATTCAGTGTTGTGGTTTTTTTTTTGTTTTTTTTTTTTGTTTTTTTTTTTTTTGTTTTGGTAGAAGGAAGAATAACGGAGGAGGAGCTAAGAGACCATATTTCCAGAGAGACTTTGTTCTACATTTGCGGCCCACCTCCGATGACGGACTTCTTCTCCAGGCACCTGGAGGACAGCCACGTTCCCAGAGAACACATTCGCTTCGAGAAGTGGTGGTAGGGCGCGTCCAGGCCTGCACGACAAGGAGGTGAGCCGCACTCGGGATAGCTGGAGCCATTCCGTCGTGTGTGGCGGGCTGCATTTCCCTCTCCGTGAGCTGATTGTTACGGCTGCAAGCTATGAGAGCTGCTGGGGAGTGACAGAAGAGCCGGCGGCAGGCTTCCTGCGGAGACTCCGTGGATCGGACGGTTTTCCGCCATGCTGACTGTCTCATTACTAACCGTTTCTCTCGTGATGGATCGTGAATTGATTGGCATAGACCTTCTTTTGCAAGGTACACACTTAGGTTGAATCATGGGGAAAAGGGGCTCTGTGAAGGAAGGGTAGCCATCTTTGAATCATCTATCTGTGTTCAATAAACTTACAAGTCAAGGACATTTCTCTAGCAATTTTGCTTTGGAAAGTCTTTGTATGTGATGCCTTGCTTGCCCATGTCCTGCAGCCTTATTGATTTGGACATCAAAGCTGAGTTTGGAAATGGGAAGTCGTTAGAAAACTTCATTTGGGAGTTAACTAGCCAGCGTTTTTGCTTTCTTGTTAAAGAATAGCCTAGGTCCGCCTCCTGCACGGTTGTTAGCTTCTTCCCCAGTGAAACCATCCAGTGCTTGGCTGCCTGCCGTGATGCCGCAGGAGGGGCCTCTGCCGGGGACAGACACTGGTGGCTGTTGTGTTCCGTGTGGAATCTGCCTTCGGGGCCGGCCGGCTGTGGAATGGTGCTGAAGACTGACTAGGGGCTCTGGAGCTGTTTCCAGATCCTGCTTCTCTGCTTGTCGTTTCATTCCTCTGCCAGGTTTGTCTTTGGCACCAGCGGTTACTCACCACATGCTCGTTGAATGACTGAAAGAAAGCAGCTAAGTCCGGGGTTGGGAGGCAGGCCCCGAGGGGACAGCAGGAAGGGTGGCGCCTCATCCCGAGGCTGCTGTGTCGAAAGTGCGAGAAAGCTGACTAGGGCTCATCTGTGTGTGTTTGGTTTTAAAAATCCAAGAAAGTTCTGGGCTGGCCGGGGCCAGGTCCCCTTTTATCTAACGAGCTCAGGCCCAAAGCTGCCTGCTCGGGGAGCACTGGGGGGTGACAGGAACCGTGAGGAAGGACAGGCGCCGGCTGCGCACCCAGGCCCCGGTGTGGTCTGTCTGGAGCTGAAGAGAGGAGACAGGCTGCCCTTTCTGAACCTCTGTGCGGCTGCAGCTCCCAGGACTCGGGGGCCTGGCGTGCGGTGGCTGACAGCACCTGGCCTCTGCCGGACCCAAGTCGTGGGAAGCAGCTTGTCAGCCGCGTTCACGGTGGGACGAAGGGAAAGGCTGGCGACCTGGTGGGAGGGGCACAGTCCAAAGTTAATTCACCGAAGTGACCATGAGCGTTTTAGGTGAGGGGAACCCCGACTTGAGGATGGGCTCCTGTGTCGAGATGGGGGCTGGGCGCTCAGGAGGCACAGGAGGAGGGCCCAGCCCGGGGTCGAGGTGAGGGGACTGATTCAGTGCAGCATGCCGTGGAGAGAGGGAGGTGCTGCGCTGTGTGTCTGCTGTCGTCAGGGGGACCACCTGTCCTGGAGACCCCAGCTCTGCCTGCCACCCTGCAGGTGACCACTGCCTCCATCTGGGCTGCTGAGATGGCCCAGGCCGTGCCCTTTGCCCGGAGTGTTGCTTTGTTCAGCTCTGGCACTCCCGTTCTGCTGGCCCAGAATTCCCTGCTCCCCTCGCCTCAGGTGAAGCTAATTTCAGGGTGGTTGGGAATTTGTAGTATTCGGCTGACATGCTGTGTAGACGAGAGCGAGCCCTCGAGTTAGACTGCCTGGGTTCAGGTCTCCGCTCTGTTGCTTACTGTGTAGGTGACCTTGAGTGAGTCCCTTGCTGCTTGCTGCCCTATGTAAAATTATGCCCTAACAGGTGCACGTAGAAGGGAACAGTGCTGCTGCCGGCCTCCCGGGCTGTGTGTGGGTTAGGTGGGCTCACATGTCAGGTGCTTAGCAGAGCACAGGGCGAGTGTGTCGTCAGTAAGTGTTTGCTACTCCTCCTCCTATTCAGGAAGGGGTTCAGGCACCTAGATAGCTTGTCTTTACGTAGCACTGGGCTGGTACGTACCAGATACACCATCAGTATTTCCTGCCAAGCTAGAAGCTAGTGAGCTGGCCCAGAGGACGTGTGAAGGGTCCTTCTGACCCGATGAATGTGTGGGAATATTTCTTATTGTGACGCGAAACCCTTTCCCGGTTTACTCCGGGGAGTAGGTTGATCTGATAGGTGAGTCCTTTTCAAATTTCATGTGTTGGTGGGAGCACCAGTGCTCACCAGAAGATGGAGCAGCCGCCTGGCCACCCCCAGATAGTTTCCCATGAAAGGTATCCCCAGTAAGGCATGGGCGCCTCATCTCCAACAGGGCGACTGAAGGCGGCTGTGGAGCCCTAAGCGGGGGCCGTGCCCTGGGACCCAGGCTCTAGGCCGCAGTGCCCACAGAGACTCGTGTTTGAACTGCCACACAGTCATCACCCACCCTCAGTGACGGTCACTAATTTGTTTTCGCCTGCCCTCAACTTCCTTGTGTTGGGTGGCATTGTCTCGTCACGCCAGGGTGTGTCTAACAGACACCACCGCAGCAGGCCACAGTTTCGCTGTGGTTCTCAACACGGGTAGCAGTGATTCCTTGGTGTCTCGTCCAAGACCCTTCTGGGTTGTGTCCCTCGCGGCCTCCAAGGTCCCCACATGGCAGCAGGTTGCTAAGTCTTGTCAGTTTCTTCTAGTCAGTGGCACCTCCCCCCCAGCAGACACGCGTGGACACGCACTCAAGACACGTTAGTTGAATACCGGCGTGTCTGTCCTCTATCTAGACTTTCCCACATTTGAATCTGGCTTCCTATATCCTCGGGGTGTCACGTAACGCGATCTCCCATCTTCTGTGCTTCACGGAAACTGGTAATGAGATACAGACTGTATTTAGACGTAGACACAAGCTTTATTTTCTCACGAGAATCCATTACGGAGCGATGTGGCCTTCCTGTTGCCTCACAGGAGACACACAGTGTCAGGCCCACTTTGAACGCTGTCGAGGTAGATGGGCGCATCAGCTCCCGTCAGCCTGGGCCTTCTAACAGAAAGCTCTCCACCATCTTATCATCTAATTATCTGAGCCATCGCTACCTTTATCTGTTATTTCATTAGGGATTAATTGCCCGCTTCAGCGTTCTTCCTGCACTTACTAGCCATGATTCATTTTTAAGGAACTCTCCCGCGTTAGCTGTGGTTACCCTGCGATGAGTCTGCAGAAAGGCAGGGCCAGCGCTGGCGTCTTTCCTTTACTTATCAATGAGCGTTCTCTGAATGGCTGCGTGGCGACCTGCAGACGTGACCTGCGAGCTCTTTCTCAAGTACCGCCGTGGGCGTGTGACTTTTTGGTCATTGGCTGGTTTTTCCCCGTGGCACTCGATGTTCTGAGGTCCAGCCTGTCTTGCTCTGTGCCTGGCCCACACCAAGACACGGGGTTGACGAGGTTTGGGGGCTTCTCAGAAGGGCAAGAAGTGCTCCGATACACAGGGAAGAGGAAAAGCAGAGTGTGGTGTCAGGAAGCCACACAAGGAGAGCAGTCAAGGATGGGCTGGTTAACAGGGACGTGCTGCAGATAGGTCAAGAGAGCTGTGTCTGCTGAGGCCGTGGACTTGCACGTGGAAAGCCACGGGTGACCCTGAGGAGATGGGCGGGAATGAAGACAGGACTGAAGGGCCAGCATCGCGACAGCAGGGAAAGCTGCCTTCTGCAATGCAGGCACCCCAGATGGGCGCAGGTTTGTGTCCCGGCTGCTCCAGTTCTGACCCAGCTCCCTGCTAATGGCCTGGGAAAAGTGGCAGAGGACGGCCCAAGTCCTTCGGCCCCTGCACGCACGCAGGAGACCTGGATTTAGTTCCTGGCTTCCATTGGGCCTGGCCCAGCGCTGGCCGTTACAGCCTTCTGGGGAGTGAAGCACCACATGGAATCTCTCTGTCTCCTTCTCTCTCTCTAACTCTTTCAAATAAATAAAAAATTCTTTTATAAAAGAAAACATGAGAGTGAGTCTAGGAACAATAAGGAGAAAAGAGATGGTAACAAGTGAGTATACACAGTAGTTTCAAAGAGTTACTACAGAGGGAAGGAGAGCAGTGCATTTAGCTGGAAAGGGAAGTGCAGCCATCAAAATGCCATTTTACTGGCTGATTTTTAAACGTTTTATTTTGAAATCATTTGATATTTAGAGAAGAGTCGCAAAGACAGTACACGGCTTCCGTCTAGCCTGCGCCAGCTTCTCCAGCTGTGCCCGTCACCGTGGTACTCATCAACACGAAGAAACTGGCAGGACAGTTTGAGCGGCGCTGCACTGTTAAGCAAGCAGGAGTTAGTTGTTGTACCAGATGAGCGAGCGAGCAGCTTGATTGTACCGAAAGCCTGACAGCGTCGTGCAGTGCGCGTCCACGCGGGAGCTGAGGACTTGGCCAGCGGCTGCTGACGCACGGCGCCCTGTCACTTAGCGTGTTGCCCTGGGCGGGCACTGAGAACAGGAAAGTAAAATCCAGAGACTGTCTTGGGGAGCAGGCTAAATACTTTGGGAAACTATGTTTTTTCTAAGGCTAAAGAATGATAACAGTTATAACCCAGACAGGAGTATCTGTGACTGTGCACTCTTCGCCACGACTGAGTGTAGAAACGCTCTGGGGCAGACTGTGCCGTTGCAACCATCCCTGGTTGAAAAGCAGCGGTAGAGAAGAATGACGAGGGAGTCCCTGACGGAACCGTATCCTGCGAGTGGCAGGATGGGCGAGTCCGTGCAGAGACGGGGGACCTGTGGGTCAGTCCATGATAAGCAGTGTCCAGCAGGTGGGAGGATGGGTGACCAGGTGAGTCAGTGGCAAGATGGAGTTTTATGGTGGGAGCACAGTGACTGGGGGTCACTGGTGTGAGGTCCTGTGGGTGGGGCACAGTGACTGGGGAGTCACTGGTGTGAGGCCCTGTGGGTGGGGCATGGTGACTGGGGAGTCACTGGTGTGAGGTCCTGTGGGTGGGGCACAGTGACTGGGGAGTCACTGGTGTGAGGCCCTGTGGGTGGGACACGGTGACTGGGGAGTCACTGGTGTGTGAGGTCCTGTGGGTGGGGCATAGTGACTGGGGAGTCACTGGTGTGAGGCCCTGTGGGTGGGAACACGGAGATTGGGGAGTCACTGGTGTGAGGTCCTGTGGGTGGGGCATAGTGACTGGGGGTCACTGGTGTGTGAGGTCCTGTGGGTGGGAACACGGAGACTGGGGAGTCACTGGTGTG